TGCCTGTGAAGCCTTGGCGGCATCGCTTCGGCCCCCCCTCTATCCAGTCTCTCATCGCTTTGATTCCGGTGACTGTCGAGCGGCCTGGCACGTATCCGTGCACCCCGTCCGGCACCTCGTGGGTGCGCCAGTGCCACAGTATCACCTTTTCCAGAACCTTGCCCAAAACCCTGAGCAGCGATATTGGACGCCATCTCTTCCACGGGTTCTCTGCTAGGCCGTTCCCTTGGTCCACTCCTTTGGAGGGTTTGGGTATCAACACCAGTCTTACAGGTTTGAAGGCTCGGGGAAAGACCCCTAGTTGCACCGATGCCTTCATCACTTCCCAGATTTCTCCACGAAAGTTGCTGGAGTTCTCCACAGCGTATCGAACATGTTCGTATGCACATTCATCATCTCCCGGAGCCCGCCCGTTTGGCGTGACAGCTAGTAGGCGGCGGAAAGGCTCCATCTCCATCTCGAAGGTTGGTCCATGGTTCGCCTCTTCCCTGTGGTGATTCGCAGAGTCTTCCCCTCTGTCTCCATCCCCTGTTGCTGGACCTACGAAGTAGTCCATGGCCTGCTCGGCATCGAACCATTCCTGCAGTGCCCTAGGCTTCGCCCACCTTTTTACCGCTCCCTCATCCATGGCCTCTATGGCCTTCCTAGCTGCATCCCGTTTGCGTTGCTTAATTCCCTTAAGCAGGGCCCTTCTTGCCTCTACTTCGGCCTCTGCCAAGGCTGGCACCTCAGGGTTCTTGCGTGCCTTACCTCTCTTCCTCTGATATGTCCGCCTCAACTTTTCAAGGTCTTCATTCCACCAGTTCTTGGAACCCGGGCGCCCAGCGGTCTGTCTTCGCGTGGATAAGCGCACCGCGTCCTTTAGACGCCTCTGTAGCTGTCCTGCTCTTCTTTCCAACTCCTCCGCGTCCCTTATCTCCGTTCCCAAGTTGCACTTGTCTATGTGCTCTATGAACTTCTCCCAGTTCGTTCTCTTGGGATTTCGCCTTCCTTTCGCCGTGCGCCTATTCTGCCTGTCTCCCCTTCCGTCCCCCGGTGGTGCGAGACTGAGCCCAAGGGCTTCATGGTCGCTGGGAACGGCGAGGTCCATGACATCCG